GGGGAGCGAATCCAGACTGATCCACCTTTTCTGAAGTAAGTGTCAGGCACATATATGTTGTGTCAGTTTGAGTTTTGGGCAGTGGAGCTGCTGTGCCGCAGTCGGGCTGGGCACAATTCACCAGCCATTTATCAAGCAGAAACTAACTTTATTTTTGGAACACACCCGGTACCACACAAGCTCTTCAGGAATTCCCTCAGAGCCCAACTGGCACAAGGGCTTCCAGCAAGCCTCTCAACCCCCCACTCCTCCCGATTGGCTGGGTCGTGTGGGCCGAGCCAAAAGAGTCCCCCAATGAGCAGCTCTGTGGTCTGAAAGGGCGAGGAAACAGCCCAATGAGCATCACCACAGAGGAGGCAATCAGCTGGCAGCTGGAAGTTTGCTGGGGCCACGGTGAGCCAATCAGCTGGAAGTTTGCTGGGGCTGCTGTGAACCAATCAGCTGGAAGTTTGCTGGGGCCCCTTTGGCTGTGGCTCTCAACACTGCTGTGTTGAGGAGAGCATGCTATCCACAGGATCCAGGGTGGTGATCTGGCACCCACCAATGATAACAGGATCCAAAAATGTTGGCAGTGAGAATGTATATGTGTTGAAGAAACTTCAGAGATCAAAAAAGTCTTAGAGATAGTGTTAGTCATCTTTAGTCAGTGAATATTTACTTATTGACTGCTACCTGTTGGGCACTGTTCTGGATGTAGAGTTCTTTCCTTTATTGGAGTGGGTTGGAGAGAGAGATAGACAATAAATGATGGATGATGAGGAGGAGATTATTCAGACATACAGGGAAGGAACATCAGTACTAGCATAACAGCACACTGTTGTGTGGAAGGTGTGTAATGAAGCAGAGGATAATGGGGATGGGGAGTACAGAATGGAGACTATTAGACTACTAGATTGGTCTGAGGTGGTCATGTTATTGATGGGAACTTGGGTTTTGAAAGAAATGGTGGGATTTGGTCAATTTTAAGATACGTTTTAGAAGTTGAATTGTCACGCTTATCAGTGGAGTGCATGGGGGTGAGGATGGGACGAGATGGGTTTGACGTGACTACTGAATATTTGACTTGGGCAACTAGATAGTGCTATTAGTTGTGATGGAGTAGTTGGGTAGTTTGGAGGAGGAACAGGTTTGGAAGTGGAAATAGGTTGGTAATAATTTTTTTTTTCCTGTGTTAGATTTGTGATGGGTTTTAAAAGTTCAGTTGGAGTTAGTAAGTAGAAGCTGGACATTTGAGTCTAGTGCCCAGGGAAGTGCTCTGAACTGTAGGTATAGATTAGGAAGTCAGCACTATATAATATAGATGGTATTTAAAGCTATGAGACTGCATGAGAGAGCATAGAGAAGAGAAGTGATTTTAGGAATATTTAGAAATGTAATAGTGGCAGAGGAGCTAAGAGGGAGATTGAGAGGGAGTGTCAGTGAAAGGTGGAATAACAAGTTACTGTGGTATCATTGACGTCTACAGAAGGGACTGTTTAAAGAAGAGAATATCAAACCCTAGCCAATGCTGCTAGTAGGTGGAGTACAAGGAATAAGTCTAGGAAGGTAAAAAGTGAGGGGGTGAGGAGAGGAGAAAGACTTACCTGGAAGGGCAGCAGAAAAAGGAGATGGTAACTGGAGGGGGATGGGTGGGGCAGGTTTTAAGAATTCGTTTATATACAAATGAGAATGATCTAGCAGAAGGGGAGAAAGATAGGATGCAGAGGAAGGATAAAGGGGATTACTGCAGGAGTGATGTCCTTGAGACAATGAGAAAGGTCAACTGCAGGCAAGAGCTTGGAACATGGATGGCTTCCATTGCTGTGGGAGGGTGGACATAGTAAGTGGTACTGATGTAAGTAGGCTGGTTGATTTTCAGCGGGGAGGAGGAGTTATTTCATTATGTCTGTTTTTTTTTTTCTTTAAAGTATGAAATAAGGTCAGTAACTGAGAGTTAAGGGGCAAACATTTGAGGAAAGGAGAAATTAAGGTTCCCACACTTAGATACAAAGTGAATTGGTGGTGGTGGGGTGGTGGTGGTAATAGTTGTAGAGGTTGAGCATCCCTAATCCGAAAATCCCAAATTTTAAATGCTCCCATATTCAAAACTTTATGAGTGTGCACGTGACAGATGTCACAAGTAGAAAGTTCCATTCCTGTCCTAATGTGACTAATTGAAGTCAAAACATTGGTACAGGGCTGGGGATATAGCTCAGTTGGTAGAATGCTTTCCTTGCATGCCCAAAGCCCTGGGTTTAATCCCAAGCACCACAAAAAAATAAAACAAGACAAAAACAAAAACACTGATACAATAAAAATATTGTGTAAAATTACTTTCAACCTTGGTGTATAAAGTGTATTTGAAACATTAATGAATGTTATATTTAGATTTGAGTCCCTTCTCCATTACTTCATAATGCATATGCAAATGTTCTAAAACTTTTTTTTAAAAAAGTGAAATCTGAAACCCTACTGATCTCATTTTGGATAAGCATTTTGTATAAGGCAGACTCAGCCTGTAGTAAGTAGGATTTTCTAGTATTATTAAGTGTCTAATTTAGATTTGTAGCTTTATAGCTTTACTGAGTCTAGTCAGCACAGCTCTGTGATTTTTCTTCAGCATTGTTCAGTTTCTTGGGTCTAGTCATGGAGTAGTTATTGGATAATTGGGTTTACCAAAATTGCGCTTTTCTAAACTAGTTAAATTGAGAAAGAAGGGGACAGGGGAGTTGTAATTTAGTCCTTTCATTTTATGATGAGGATTCTGTGATGAATACTGTTAAATATATTTTGTAAAAGAAATTCTTAGTAAAGTTTATTGGTAGCAATGTAAATCAGTTACAATTAAAAAACAAACTAAACAATTTACCAAATGAATAAATCTTAACCACTATTAATTGCCTATAATGCATCTGGCAGATATGTCAATAATAGTATTTTGTTTTGTAAATTAATTGTAAAAAAAAAAAACAAAAAAACGTTGAGTTGATCTCCATTAGTACTTGAAAATACAAATACAGCAAGTCAAATAAAGTTCAGAAGACCTTATAACATATGACAAAATAGCCAAAAAAAAGCAAAGACAATTTTTAAATTGCTTAATTTATTTCTTAGGTTTTTTTAATATAAAAAAATAGTACATGTTTTTTTGATTATACAGGAAACTTCACCTCCAATTGTCTTTTTTTTTCAAATATTTAATATTTCTTCATTGTCAAAATCTTAAAATTTCACTTTTGGCTGGACTTTTCTCTCTTGATCTTTTTTTTTTTTTGTTATTCTGAAATAGTTATCATGGAAGGAATTATGACCTTTGTACAGCAGAAAATGGTCACTTAGCAGATGTGAATACTGGTCTGGGTTCTCAAATTTCTTCACCTTTTTCATTGTGATCAAGTGCCTTGATGTATGACTGGAAAGCTTCCGCTCATAGTTGCTGATGAGTTTCAGGCAAGAGTGCCAGGATACCATCTATTCAGCAAGCTCTTCTATATATACAGTGGTAACCAATAGATTAATCTTGCACCTAATATGATGGTCTAGCTTCAAAGTTAAACAGGTCAAAAAACATATCACTAAGGTGATAACTCAATGAAACCGGAACATGGCTTTCTGAACTTTCTATTTTCTTTTCTTTAAAAACCCTCTTTGGTATTTCTTTCTGTGTTTTTGTAGATTCTCTGATACCATGTGGAGGATCAGTGATAATAGCATCAAAATGTGTTTCCTTCCTGCAGGAAGGTTTAGATACATCTGAAACCAGGACGTACAGGGAATACTTCTGATGAAAATTTGCTCTATTATTTTCATGTGGTCCTCTCCAGTTCTGATTTTTCCTATTAGCCTTTCTGAACCCATGAACTATATTGTAGTCTATGTCTGTCTCATATATACATATATATGCACTAAAATGAGCAGAAGCTATCAGGAGGCCACCTGTTCCATCAAATGGATTGAAAACAGAATCATTTTCTATCACTTTTTCATGGTTTGCCATGATGAGTGGTAAACCTTCATCCATATTTGTATTTCTAGTAAAGTGTCTCTTTTTAACACTGTGTGACTCAATTAGCTCTCTCTGTTCATCTAATATATGGATTCTCAGAGATGCGGTTAGGTCCAAACCATAAGCCTCCAAAATAGAGAATATGTGTTGTGGTTTCTTTAAGTTCACTTTTCCTTTAAATGGCAGAAATTTAAGGGGGTCTATTCGTTTGATTTTTTTCTTCTTGTGTCAACGTTTTATTAAATGTGTGAATCTTTATTTTATATGTAGAGTCTGAATGCAGAAATGGAACTATCTCCTCAGGGTAATTTTTAAGAGAACTGTACACCTCTTCAGGAGATCTTCTGTGACCCCATAGTTCAAATATAGACTTGGCACCCACTGTCCAATTTATTAAGTGTCTTGTAGTATCTTCAGAGGGCATACTAAAAATCCCCTAAGTTGCCTGACAAACTGACCTCCAAAAAGCTAAAGCAAAGATTTTATCTCCCTCCTTGTCTCGGGTTCCTCTCTAGTGTTCTCTAAGTGATGTTTTTGCCTGGAAGTCCAGAATTATCTCTGTAGGTGGGATTGCAGATGCTCCTGAGCATTGAGCAGTAGGTGCCTGTTCAAGGTGGCCGGCCTTGCCATTGTGCCCTTCCATGTTCCTGCAGGGCTAGCATGGTTGGTTGTGTTTCAGTAAAGAGAAAGCAAAAATTTGGATTTTCCTGAAAAATACTCTGTTAACATTGAGACAGTGTTAATACAATTGGATTACTTTGTGGTTTACATACCCTGAATATCTAATTTCTAAAGAAATTAGCTTTTGGGTTTGTAGTCTTTTTTTTTCTTTTTTTTTTTAGAAGTAAATGTGACACCTGGCTGAGGTTGTAGCTCAGTGGTAGAGTGCATGCCTAGCAGCGCAGGTGTCCAGGTTCAATCCCTAGCATGGGGTGGGTTTGGGTGGAGGATAAATAAGTAAATAAATAAATAGGAGCAAATGTGACATAATCTCCATGTCATTTTTTTTTTAAAGGTCTGTCTATGATGGTGAAGAACATGGACGATTCATGGAGAAGCTTGAAACTCGTATCCGTAATCATGACAGAGAAATTGAGAAAATGTGCAACTTTCATTACCAAGGCTTTGTGGACTCTATTACCGAACTGCTGAAAGTGAGAGGAGAAGCCCAGAAACTCAAAGTAAGGAGTCTATGGGATTATGTTGCTGGTCATGTATTTGTGGTAAAGATTTTTGTGTAGTAAGAAAGGAATTTATACTGAAACCTCGATAATTGAGATCATGTCCATTAGCTAAAAAGGATACCCTTTTAAATTAGAGTTTAATTGGGAAACCTACACATGGTTCAGAACCAGTGATCAGTAATTGTTTCTTTCAAACAGAAACGTAAGAGTTTTGTTATTCCTTGATGGAATAACATCTCTGTAGGATGACAGAATTTATGGGGCATTGCTATAAGATTATTTGCAATATGGCACCTAGGCCAAGGATAAAAAGAGTTGTGGTCATTGTGGAATGTCTCCTACCAGAGGGTGACGATGCTTTCTTGCTTTGACAAATTGGGAAGGAGTCTAGGCACATTGGTCTGGTCATTTGCATGGCAAATTCCCATATGTTGTATACCAGAGTTTGCTTATTGATCTTAAATCTAACTACCCTACTAACACTTCTATTATGTCAAATAGTACATGTTTATATTTTTTGAGTTTTTATGAAAATACTTCGCATATGATATGTAAGTAGTAACAGTTTTATTTTTTCTTTCTAGTGCTTATGCTTTTAATTATTTTTTTCTTACCTGATTTTGAATTATAATCCTAAAGGATTTTCTTGGACATGAGGTTAATTTGACAGTAAGTATAAAATTCATCTAAAAGAATACATTAGTGGGTTGGGATTGTGGCTAGCGGTAGAGCGCTCGCCTAGCACGTGCGAGGCCCTGGGTTAGATTCTCAGCACCAAATAAAAGTAAAATAAAGATATTGTGTCCAACTACAACTAAAATAATATAAATATTAAATAAATAAATAAAAGGATACATTGGTGAGAAAGGCAAAGAAACAATTTTATTGAGGGGTAAAATGGGCTATCAGTTATTAAATTTTATTCTAAAGCTAAGGTATTTTAAAAATTCATCTGACTGCAAAACATGACCTAAATGGACATGAAACTATCAAATTTCTTAATTTACTCTGTTTATTGTGGGTTATTATGTTTTGCTACAGAAACATGAATATGTTTGATTATAGGGTGCTGAGTTGGTTCTCATTTGGGGATATTATAATATACGTGTACCTCATTATCTTTATGAAACCTACAAAATTCTGAAGTCAAAAACACATCAGGCCCTAAGGTTTATTTTTTATTTTTTGCTGCTGGGGATTAAACCCAGGTGTGCTCAACCACTGAGCAACATCTTTAGCCCTTCTTATTTTATATTTTGAAACAGGGTCTCTCTAAATTGCTTATGGCCTTGCTAAGCTGCTGAGGTTGTCCTGGAAATTGTGATCTTCCTGCTTCAGCGTCTCTAGTCACTAGGATTACAGGTGTATCTGTACCCAGTGGTCCTAAGGTTTTAAAAAGGAGTTCATGAACCTATATAGAAGCATGCATCCATCTTGAGAAATAGAATATTGCCAAAATTATTTAATCTCTCTTTTGTACCTCCCTAGTGGCTTCCTCCAACTAAGAATGAACAATCTTTTGATTTGTTGTTAATGTGCTCCTTGGGCTCACTCAGCCACCCCAGCTTCCTGTCCTCGTCTTGGGCTGTTCTTTTCTGTGCACTGTGGATACCTAAATCCCAAGTTTCTCTCACAGTTTCTTTAGGACTGTGCTCCATGATGTGCAATGGGATACTGAGGTGGCCATGTAGTGGAATACTTGCCTGGCCAGCTAGTAGTAAACATTGCCCATAACTATGCTCACTAGTTATTGGTATCACTTGCTAATTGGTACTCTTCTGTTCTTCCTCTTACTTCTGTCCAATTACTTCACATTGGTTCAAGTTACAAATTCCTTCAGATTGGTTAGGATGCCTCTGAAGGAACACCTAAACTAGATGCAGGGTTTTTGGCTGATTCAGGCTTCCACCCAGTTACTGGATATTAATGTTCAGCTGTATACCTTGTAGGCTCTGCACTTGGGGTATCCATTAGACCTAGGTTAAGAACCTAGGAAATGTAGAGTTTTCTAAACTCTAGAAAAGAGTTTAAAAGATGGAGCTGATTAAGTATTGATGACTTCCATTACCGTTTTAACATAACAGTGAAAAAAATTGTACATTTTAGGATGCCCATTATTTCCTTTGATTTACAGCAAGAATATACTTGTATGTGTATGTACACATTTATATTTTCTGAATCAAAAAAGTATCATCCCAGATAGTTGATATATTTTCTTTTCATTGTAATGTATTGAAATACTTATTGAAATAATTACTATATTTCTTACCAGAAGCATTGCTTAGGTGCCTATGGGTATGTTTTAGACCATGGTTTGCATGAAATCAGTTGAGTGAGCTTTGATCAGTATTTTTTTTTTAACAAAAATTGAAATTAAAGAGAAGAGAATTGAGTAGAAATAAAAGTGTATTACATGTAGCAAGGGTGAACAGTATTTCTTGAAAATTGTTCAGTTTATGTGTGTGTACATGTATGCATGTGTGCATGCATATGCTCCCTACTTCTGACTGAGTTGCAGTGTACATTGTATTTTTTACATTGAGTATGAGATAAAGAAATAAGATGCTGAGTTAGTTGTGTTCATGGAGGATTGAATTTAGAAGACCTCAGTATAGGATTTTAAAAGTCCAGCTAATTATCAGTTAACTACTTTTTTAAAAAATTTTCTTTTAGTTATACATGGATACAATATCCTTATCTTGTTTATTTGTTTTTATGTGATGCTGAGAATGGAACCCAGGGTCTCTCACATGAGAAGTGAGCGCTCTACCGCTGAGCCACAACCCCAGTCCTTAACTACTGTTGTTGACAATACTTCTATTACTGCCTTAGATATGAGTTTTGGGCAGCTACATCACACCCTTAGTTCATATTGAGCTCACAGTTCAATAAAACAACAAATTATTTCACATGTGGTGCTATTAGGTATATAATAAAGAGGTAATTTGGTGTTTCTTGCCTCTTTCTGATACTTAAAGGATTTCTGGGGAAGGTTAGGTTTCATTTTGTCTTTGGAAGCAGAGTGCATATGGTAATCTTCTCTGGACATGTAGTACAATTCAGGGCAATGATTTAAAAAAGTGTGTTTTCTGAAAAACTGGTTCCTTGGGATGATCTTGAATAAAAGGATGTTAAATAAGTTTGGAAAACCCTCCATATGATGTACTTTTCTTGGGCATTTATACTGCATGTTATATCATGTTTGCGTGCATGTTTGTGTGCGTATGTGCACAAGGAATGTCATAGGAAAAACTGGGTTGAAGAGTGCAGTAAAAGTATAAGTAGTACCAATGTTGATAAGGTCTGAGATGATGAAGATGTTATAGTCTTAATTTTTTAACATGGGTGTAGACATCAAAAGTAGATTAGTAAGAGGATGTGCCTGTTCCTTTAAATTACAAACTATATATAGGTCATTCAATGATTTAATCACATATTTTGACCATTGGAATGGGAGATTAAGGAGAATATAGAGCTGTTGGGAGCTATTAAGAATTAATAATCCAGGGGCTGGGGTTGTGGATCAATGGTAGAGCGCTTGTCTAACATGTGTGAAGCCCTGGCTTCGATCCTCAGAACCACATATAAATAAAGGTGTGCAACTACAATTAAAAAATAAATAAATATTTTTTTAAAAAGAATTAATGATCCAGAAAGAACTAAGATAAAAACATCTTCTAAAATTAGGATAATAAACACAGAAAAATTGACTTGAGTTAAAAAATCGAATTTATACCGAGCCTTTTCAGGAATACATTGATGAGGTGAGGAATATATATGATAAAATTTGTTCTTTCTTGGTAAGATTCTTTGTGGGTTACTTTTTCTATTATATTTTTCTCTCTTCTTTTTTTTTGTTTTAAAAGTTAAAGTGTGATATTTGGTCATTATTGTATCTTAGTTTGGAATGTTTCAAACTAAAGATATCTGTCAGTAAAATTTTCTTTTCATTATTCAAAAGGTCATGCAAAAGATCCAGTAGCAAAGTTGATGTCATTTAAATTCAAGAGACTGCTCATGACCAATATATGATAGAATACTGAACTATCTAGCTACCTGAGTCTTTTCACATGAAAATTTGATCTTTATTCAACTGTTGTCTAAATGTGTGTGTGTGTGTGTGTGTGTGTGTGGTTTTTTTTTTTATGAGTTTAAATTGTCTTCTCTCCACAGAATCAAGTGACGGATACTAATAGAAAACTACAGCATGAGGGAAAGGAAGTAAGGCCAGTTTATCTTTTGACCAAGCTTTTGTTTCATGCCATTCTCTTTTGATGACTGTTCTTCATTTAGTGGGCTTGTAAGACTATAAGCAGCATGTTGAAAGTTGTTGGGCATTATTGTTGCTTCTAGTATTTCTCTGAATTTAATGAATTTAGCCACTACAAAGTGTGATGAGAGTGTATGTAGCCTGTCTCTGATGTGTTTTAAGTCACTGAATGGTCCTAATGTGGCCAGTGCTGTTCTCCCTCCTGGAATGTTTTGTTCCCCTGTCCCCAATATTCACATACTTCAAATCTTTTCTCAAATCTTATCACCTTTTTTTTTAAATTGATGCATTTAAAAATATTGCCTTCTTAATAAAACCTTCCTAACCACCTTATGTGAAGATTTGAAGTTATAGTCTCACCTTCATTGCCTGCAATCTTTTTATATTTTTCCCATTTTGCTTTTCTCTATTATACTGTCATATTCTTTCTCTCTCTCTCTCTTTTTTTTTTTCGATATTGGGGATGGAACCCAGAGCTTCACACATGCCAGGCAAGCGCTTTACCACTGAGCTACATTCCCAGCTCTCATATTCTTGATATATATTTTTACTTATGTATTTGTTCTTTCTTTCTGTCTCCCTCCACTAGAAATTATGCTTCATGTGTTAAGAAATTTTTGTTTATCTTATTTATTGTATTCCTTCCATCTACTAAAACACTTTTTTGGCAGAAAGTGTTTAAAAAATGAATCATTACTCTCTTCATTGATGCACCCACTATTTAAACCTTTACATTTACATTGTTATTTTGTGTCCATTTCCTTACTGGATTTTTAATGCAGACCAATGACAAAGTCAGGACAGGTGTTATCACTATTTTATTAATGAAGAAACTAGAACAGGGGATTTGCTGAAGTTTACATTGTTCTGAGTATCCTGCCCCTTCCTTATGACCTAATCCTTATTTAGTGTTTAATTTTAATAATCTCTTAAGTTTAGATTTTGATTGTTAATGAGGGCCATTCTTGTTCATTTCTTTTTTTGCACGATATTTAAGGAGATAACATTTTTAGGTATGGCTATGAGACGAATGCTGCAAGTGAATATGTAAATTTTGTTTTTTGTCTCACATAGTCTAGATTCTATAGAGTCCAGTTTCTCCTGATTATATTATGGGGCAACTTCAGATAGAAGCCTTTAGGATGGGAAGAAAAGTGTTTTGTCTTCACTAAACTGGATCTCTTAAAAAAACCACATCTTCTAAGTGTGTGGTTTATTTGTTGAAATAGAGACTTTGTTGAAGATGATTTTCATGCACATTTGAAGCTGTATAGAAAGGATTGTTTTCCTCCAGGAGTCTAGCATGGCTGAAAGAAACTTAGGATCTCTTTAAAAGATTGATGAACTCCTAAATCATGAAGAGTCTCAAGGATTTGGAGAAAATATACAAAAAAATTTTTTTCCCTCCTGGACAGCCCCTGTATTTTAGGATTTCATTTTATCTAGCCTTTGGTAGGGTAGTCTGTATCTTGAGGAGAAAGTGGGAAGCTGTGCAGGAATGTTTTACTGGTTAGAAAGGCAGTTCCTTAGTCCACTTGGCAGGTCTTACTATGAAACTGTCTGGGATTTTCTGATGAATTGAACACAGTGTGGAAAAATGTGACTGAAAGCTTTTTATTTATAGCTATTGGCATAATTCAGTTTTTTTCCCTCTTGCCAAGCTGGTAATAGCAATGGAAGAGCTGAAGCAGTGTCGACTACAACAGAGAAATATTTCTGCCACTGTTGATAAATTAATGCTGTGTCTTCCAGGTGAGGAACTGGAACTGGAGTAGGATTTTTGATACAATTCTTTTAGTTTTAATTAGTCTTTCATTTTCTCTCAATAATGCTTGTGTGTTCTTTTCTCTCTTTCAAGTCCTAGAGATGTACAGCAAACTGAGGGACCAGATGAAAACTAAAAGGTAAGATTTTTTTTCTTGAACAGTTTTTATTATTTCTGAAATTTCTGTTATTCAGACTACTTTCAAGGTCTATATTTGGTATTGCTTTTCAAAAAATAACAAGTTTGTAACATCTTCTGTATCTTTTTGTCTATCTGTTGATTCATCCTAGATTTATTTACATATACAAATGATCATGTATTATGTTTGATAACATATATATACAGTTTGATTTTTAGTTGTTTAGGGGAAAAACATGTAATTATTTTTGTGATGGTTTGAGAAACATGTTGTGTAAGTTTAATATTGTCATAGAAAAAAATAGTCCCTAATTCTGGTACAAGAATGTATTTGTCAGGGTTCTCTAAAAAATAGCCAGTAGGATAGTGTGTGTGTGTGTGTGTGTGTGTGTGTGTGTGTGTGTGTATCTGGGGAAGTATTTGTTTTAGAAATTGGTTTCATGATAGTGAGTCTAAAACCTGTAGGATAGGCTAGTGAGCTACAAGCCCATGGAAGAGTTAATTTTATAGCTTAAGTCCAAGGGCAATCTGCTGGTGGACTTCCTTCTTCCTAAGGGGAGGTCAGCTTTTTATTTTTTTTAAACTAAGGTCTTCAACTGTGCTTGGAGGGCCACTCATATTATGAAGGGTAATCTTCTTTATTCCTAGTCTCCTGATTTAACATACATCTTGTCCAAAAAAAAAAAAAAAACCTTTACAGAAACATCTAGAAAAAAATGTTGGAACTGGGTACCATGGCATAGCCAAGTTGACAAATAAAATTAACCATTACAAAAGACAAGGTTATGTTAAATTTAGAGGATTCTTTCCCTATATAGTGTTTTCTTCTGGTTTTATTCCAGAGGAAACTCTATAGTGACTTTTTGACTCTTATTCCCAAAATAGAAGTAAGCATTCCAACCCTCTGTGCCTTGGGACACCCTCCAGTGTGAGGAGAGTGCCTGAAACAATAGGATAAACAGAGTACATCTTCTTGGAATGTTCAAAAGAATGCAGTTAAAATATAATTATTACTGAAATAAGACTGGAGATACTGGATAAAAATCCTAAATGCTCAAGAAATTTGAAGCTAAAGCATGAGCTATCAGAAATGTTGAGTTTCTTCAAATTATCTCCCAGACTCCCTTTTTTTCCAAGAGGATGCACTCACATATAAATATGTAGGTAGAAAACTATGAGAAGATTTGATCAATTTGAAATGAAAGCAGTAGTATTTCCCAAATAACCTTTGTTTTAGTTAGCTTTTCCATTGCTGCAACTAAAAGAACTGACCAGAACAATTGCAAAGGAGGGAAAGTTTATTTAAGGGTCTCATAGTTTGAGAAGTCTCAATCCATTGACAGCAGGCTCCATTCCTAAGGGCTCCAGGTGAGGCTGAACATCATGGTGGAAGAGGGTGGTAGAGGGAAGCAGCTCACAAGGTGATCAGAAAGCAAAGAGAGACTCCATTCTTCAGATGCAAAATATCTACCCCATAACTACGCCCCCAACGAACCACTCTTCCAGCCACACTCTACCTGCCTCCAGTCACCACACAGTTAATCCCATCAGAGCAATTCACTAGTTAGGTTAAGGCTATGACCTAATCATTTATTTTTTTTTATTAAGGTTTATTCCAAACCTTCTTGCATTGTCTCACATGTGATTTTTTGGGGGGATGCCACATCTAAACCATAACAACCTTTCAGTAAAGATCTAAAATTACAGAGGAAAAAAAAAAAAAAAACCCACCAACTGGTGGAATTGTTCTAATTAGGAGATGTTAATTTTCTAGTTTTGATTTATACATATAATGTGTATAACTACATATGGCATAATATATGTGTGTATGTATATATACACATACATACATATATAGACATGGAGAGTTAGATATATTTTTTCAAAAGCTATAAATAAAAATTTTGTTCCCTTCCTTGGTCTCATTCCTTACCTAAGGTACCATAGTTTTGTGTGTCCTAGTCCATGTTTAAATATCTGTAAATCATATATTATTTTGAGCTCAAAAACATTTACATAGAGGATTCATGATATTTATTTTAAAAAGTTTTTTTTTTTTTTGTAGTTGTAGATGGAGAATGCCTTTATCTTATTTGTTTATTTTTATGTGGTGCTAGGGATAAAACCCAGTTCCTCATACATGCTAGACAAGTGCTCTGCCCCTGAGCTATAGCCCTAGCCCCCTCAGTACTTGTTTTTTGAGATCCATTCTTTCACTCAACAAAAATGAATTGAATACATACCTATTATTCTTGTTGTTGGGAATAGATGTAGTTGTGAACAAAACAGACAAAAATATCTCCCCTTATAGGGCTTAGATACCAATAGAGAGCTTATTTTCTTTATGTATATAGTTTTAGAATGTTTATTTTATTTACTCTATGATTATCTATATTTTATATATATATATTAATAATATATGTATTATTACTCTATGATTGTCTATATATGAATATTTCATATTTCTCTTCCCAATTTCAGTGGTTGTCTTAAGTATTGCTCACCAATATTTTTAGCTCAATTGGCACCAGATAGGATTACTTTTTTTTCTGGCTTCCTTTGTATAGGTTGGGCTATGTTTTCGGTTCTGGCTGATAAAATGTGAGCATAAATGATCATTTTGGGTTTAGCATTAATTTCCAGTGCATGGCCCTCCAGAGTTCTCTTATTTTTCCTTGGTCAGAGCAAATGCCAGCTTTAAAAGATGGTAGTTGAGTCTTTGAGTACCTTCAATGAGCTTTCCTGGAAGCCTATTATGAATGTATAATGTGAGTAAGTTTTAAACTGTTGTTTTAAATCACTGAGATCTTGGGGGTTGTTACTGTAGGATAAGTATCCTGACTGATACTGAGGGACATTTGGTATGTTTCCAACTGTTTGCTGTGTCAGACAATGATGCAATAAATATCCTTGCTCATATCTCTAAGGACTCACATTCAAAATTTCTTGAAAGTGGTGCTCTTCAAGTTTTGTTTTGGGGATTTGCTAAATGTAGATCTGATTGAATAGGTCTGGGGTTGTTGTTGAGATTTTGCATTTTTTACCAAGCTGCCAGGTGATGCCAGTTTAGCTGGCATAGTATTTAAACCCAAAAGGTGATCAGCTGGATCAAAGAAGGATGTGTGGTCTTCAGTCTTACTAGATATTGTCTCCAATGTGATTTACCCATTTACACACTACCATGAGCATTTTATGAGAGGTTCTGTTACTTCACTTGTTGGTAGTGTCTCCACTTTTTATTTTTGCCATTCTAATGATTGTGAAATTTTTAGGTCACTTATGATTTTTCATTTCTTTGATTTTATTGCTACTGAGAGTAGATTTTAGACATTGAAGAGCCTTTCTTTTATATGCTTTGCACATTTTTCTAGGTGGTTGGGTTTTTTTTCTTCTTTGGTCATAATCTCATATACTTTAGATGTCTTTTTCTGTTATTTGCTACAATGTATGGCTTATTTATTAACTTTGTATATTTAATATTTTTTGTTGTGTGGCAATTTTACATTTTGATATAGTCAAAAATTTATTTTGTGAATATTAAATAAAATTTATTTTAAAGTATTTCCAAGTTCAATATAAATGTCTTTTTCCCACACCAACTGAAAGAGGCTAACATGATATGGTCATATTACTTTAGTCTGATTTTCTACAAATAGATATATTCTTCTATGCGACCACAATGGACAGAAAATGTAAATTAACATTGATATATTACTAACATCTAATTCTTACATCTAATTACCTAATTCAAGTTTTGCCAGTTGCCTCAATCATTATTCTTTATAGCCAAAGAATTCAGTTCAAATCACATGCTTTATTTAGTTGTCATGTCTCTTTAGTCTTCTTGAGTCTGTAATTGTCTTCAGTCTTCCCTTGATTTTTGTGATCTTTTAAGGATTATGGGCCTGTTATTTTATAGGGCATTTTTGCTTTTTAAAAAGGGTGTTATGTCTCAATCTTTGTTTTTTAACTGTACCATTTAGATCTTTAATATGAGTGCAATCATCAGTGTATGAGTTTAAATCTATCTTCTAATATTTTTTTTTGGTACTGCAGATTTAACTCAGGGGTGCTTTACCACTGAGCTACATCCCCAATCCCCACTATTTTTAAAATTTTGAGACAGGGTTCTCACTAAGTTCCTGAGGCTGGTCTTGTACTTGGCGATCCTCCTGTCTTAGCCTCCCAAGCTGCTGGGATTACAGGTGTGTGCCACTGTGCCCAGCTTCTAATTTATTTTCAATTTGTCCTATCTGTTCTTTGTTATTTCTCAGTATTCTTGCCTTCTTCTAAATCAATTGACTGTATTTTAGGATTCCATTTTGTCTACACTAATGCCTTGTTATCTGTATCTCTTTATCTTTTTAACAATTGCTTCTAACTTTACTTAACTTTTGATGGATCTTTAAATAATGTCGTGTCGAGTCATGTACAATGCAAGATTCTTATAACAATATATTTCCATTTAAAGGGAGATGCCATTCTCATTTGCTCAATACATGCTGTATGCATGTATTGAATTGTCACTCTATACTCCACAAATATGTACACTTATTATCTGTCAATTAAAATTTAAAAAGCTTCCATTTTACCCTCCCTTCCCTTGTGTTATTATTGTTATAGATCTTCTTTCTTTCTTTTTTTTTAAATTTATTTTTTAGGTGTAGATGGACACAACACAATGCCTTTATTTTTTTTTATGTGGTGCTGAGGATCGAATTGGGTCCTGCCTGTGCGAGGCGAGCGTTCTACCACTGAGCCACAATCCCAGCCCGTAGATCTTATTTCAAAATATGATATAGTGCCTAAAATACATTTTCATTTTTGCTGTAAGTCATCGTTTACCTTTTAAAGAAACTAAAAAATAAGAGAATATTCTTTCATATTTATCCACATATTTAACTACAAATGTGGCCCTTTTTATTTCTTTATGTTGAAGAAATATGTTATGTTCTTTATTTTCATCTGGTGTTATTTATCCCTTCTACTTGGACAGTGACC